GTGACCAGGACTGTATATCACAAATGAATATACGGTCAATGCAATTTGACGGCGCAAATAGCACAGCTGCAGTATATAATACAGTTATGTGTGATATTAGTACTCTATCATTCCTTATCTAAAAAAAAATATACTTGAGAATCTGGATGGGGTTCGGAGAAAAGTGAATATTGTGTTATATATTATATATATAAGGGAGTATTGACCACAAAATAAATGAAAAATTAATAGAGAAAAATTGTTCAATATTAAAGAATACAAAAATAAGGGACCCCTCCTTTTTTTGCCTTCCCCCTTTCCAAACCAGCATAGTTATATTGAAACAAAATCATGTCATATCACTTGAAGTATACCTCGAACTTCGTTAATGTTCAATGGTAAAAGAGTAAGAGCAAACGACAGTATTTTCATTTTTTTACATCATATACATTCCACCGTGATACATTCAGCACTGCAGTGAAAAAAAATTACACAAATACATTTTATTCATTTTTTCCAAACATTCAACAGTTTTTGAGAGTTAAAAACACCATTCTTTATGTGTCTCAAACTGTATTATACCTCTTTTACTTAAACGTTTTATGTAAATTTCAATGTATGCGATTCGTGTTTCTAAAAAAAGGTCGTCCATACCAAAAGTAGAGGAAAACAAATACCGAAGAAAAAAAAACGTTGGGTAGCAAGCTTAGTAGTCTTAATTAGAAACTTCAACTCATCAGAATTCAACTATCAATTTAATTTGCATTTGAAACAAGGGCATCGGTTGCCGAGTGGTCTAAGTAGTAGAACTACAGTATCACTAGCCTGTCAACACTTAGGTTGTTAAGTTCCAATCTCGCACGTGGCAGATGCGCTGGACTGCAATCTGAATTGACTAGGATTGTCAGTTATCTTACCGCCGGCTTCCTCTAATCAATAAAAACTTACCGCAACGAAAAAGCACAATAGTGCAGAATGTGGCGTTCAACGCCAATCAATCAATCCATTTGTAACACGGCACGCACTGGCCATGATTTGGAAATATACATTTTCACAATAACATTCAAACTAGTAACTGTTATAATAACTCTTTTCAATAGTAAGGTTTAAATTATGTAAAAAAAAACTTTTAGTCATAAAGCTTCTTAAACAATTTATCTCGATCCTTAATCAAAGTATAAAATTACTAATATGGATTTAATCAATAAAAGAACTACGGCATCCATTCATTAACTCCTCTGCTACTTTGAGAAATTGTTATTGGTCAGCTTAAAAGCAAGAAGAACAACACGTCGGGTGTCATTAGGGGAGCACGTCAGTTATGCTGACCTTTCTTGAATATCTTAATTCACCCCGATGTGTCCTTAGGCTGGTCTTGTTCAATCTATTGTTGCGTATGGAGTGTTTTCTTTTTGCTTGTCATTTCGTCTTCTTTTTTTTTTGTCCTTTTTAGTCCATGATGCTTTCTGGTTTTGTTTGACGTATCCCTTGGCATAGTTTCCCTTTTTTTACCTAAGATGCTGTATTTCCCTGTCTTTTTCCTCTCTGATCTTAGCGTTCGTCGTTTAACGTGACTTCATATTTGATACAGCAATTTTGATGTGATAATTTTCTTATTACATATACTAGAGACAATACCGTGATATTTCGCTGCTACATGTAATAACATAAACGGTACCAATTTTTCTGCACCAGAAGCGCATTTCGACAATTAATGTCTCTTCAGTGATGCTCGAGGTTAAAATATTTGAAAATCCAATGCTTGTTAAAAAGATGAAGAGCCAGAAACCAAAAAGGACAAAAAAGTATAGCCAAAGCCGGACAATTGCTTGAAACGGTGTTCTCCTTGTTTAAATTAATTGGTTCACTTGATTCGTCATTAATATCTACATTACACTACTAAGTATTTAACGCCTAGTATTGTTATTTTTCATAAAAGATAGACTAAAAGCAACAATTCCAACTGAACAACACGGTAATAAGTCTAGTATGGATTTAATCGGTATCAGCGAAGTAGTCAGTACCTCGGTACTGACATAATTTATAACAGACCTTTCTATAACTGTACACTGAGGTTGTGGGTTGGAATCCCGCACGTGGTAGGTGCGCTCGACTCCAATCTTAATTGACTAGGATTTCTTACCGAAGGTCGATGGTTTTCTCCGGGCACTCCGGCTTCCTCCACCAAATAAAAACTGACCGCCACGAAATAGCACAATAGTATTGAAAGTGGCGTTAAATTTTGAAGCTATAAGAAACTAAGGTTTCAACTCCCTCAGGCAAAGTTTACCTTAGATGGATACGGCTATTTGTTTGGGTCTCTTTTGGTCATATAGCCCTTCAACTGTTTCGGTTCTTATACATCCTAAAATATTCGGCTCCGGGTGTTCCCGATAAAGGTAAATCCAGAAAATCGCTTTTCATTTTTTAGAATATTTTTTTATCAATATGCTACGTTTTAATTTTTGACATTAGTCTGATAAAGAGCAGACGACTATTATTTTGTCATCTCAATCGAAACATTATGATTTTGCAATATGATATACATTTTATTTCCTCTTATTTTCTTTACCGGTGATTGCTCTATTATTACAATTATTTTTTGGCAATTATAGTATGTCAATCCATGAATACAAAAATGTAGATTCGCTCTTCTTAATTGAATGTGCCTTTTATAATGTTTATTGAGCTTTTCGGAAAGCTAGTAATGGCATCAATTATTTTTAGTATAAATATAAAATCATCGCCTGTCAACAGCAGTTCTATACAAATGGATAGGATATCTTTTGACAGTCTTAAAATGGTGCTATTAATGACTTTCCCTAAGTGTGCATGTGACATACTGTCACTCAAAAATGACAGATGAATTCATGTTGAACAAAAGTGCTGTATTTACATTATTCCACGATAAAGACAGACGAATAATAAAAGAAAAGACAAATTATCAGAACGTTTCCTAAATTTAATGTCCGAACAAGTGTTATTATTGGTGAGGATTTTGTTGTACGTCATAAGGAGATATGCTCTTTAAGTTTTTTTTTCCATAGTGAATGGATCAGAAAGGTTTTTTTTTAATAACTCATTGGCTAATTGGCGTTTCAAATGCAAGCACGTGGAACGCGATATATACTTCAACCATTTCACAATTTCAATGCTATCAATCAGATATTACAATTACCGCAATCGATTGGTTGTGGACGTTTTTTCTGAACAAAAAAATAGGGGAAAAAAATAGATGAACGATATCAAGGAAACATAACATGTCAAAACAGCAACAAAAAAAACACACAACACCATAACCGACAAGAAAACGACAAAAGACAATTGACAGTCCACATAATGTCGCACAAAGACTGAGCAACAATAACAACACCAATAACCGTGGGTGAACTTCTTCTCCGACAGATTGATAGATCCTGCTCTACTATTAGGACCCGTCGTGTTCCTCACTGAAGGTAGAAATTGGGCTTAAGTATCATTTACCGAATATTGTTACGTTTTGTTCATTATAGCACAATGGTGGTCACATACGCTAGATATTCATCGACATAATAGTGGTCACATACGCTAGATATTCATCGACATAATGGTGGTCACATACGCTAGATATTCATCGACATAATGGTGGTCACATACGCTAGATATTCATCGACATAATGGTGGTCACATACGCAAGATATTCATCGATATAATGGTGGCCACATACGCTAGATATTCATAGACATAATGGTGGTCACATACGCTAGATATTCATCGACATAATTGTGGTCACATACGCTAGATATTCATCGACATAACCGTGGTCACAAACGCTAGATATTCATTGACATAATTGTGGCCACATACGCTAGATATTCATCGACAATATGGTGGTCACATCCGCAAGATTTTCATCGACAAAATGGTGGTCACATACGCTAGATATTCATCGACATATTGGTGGTCACAAACGCTAGATATTCATCGACATAATGGTGGCCACATACGCTACATATTCATCGGTATAATGGTGGTCACATACGCTAGATATTCATCGACATAACCGTGGTCACAAACGCTAGATATTCATTAACATAATTGTGGCCACATACGCTAGATATTCATCGACAATATGGTGGTCACATCCGCAAGATATTCATCGACAAAATGGTGGTCACATACGCTAGATATTCATCGACATAATGTTGGTCACATACGCTAGATATTCATCGACATAATGGTGGTCACATACGCTAGATATTCATCGACATAATTTTGGTCACATACGCTAGATATTCATCGACATAATGGTGGTCACATACGATAGATATTTATCGACATAATGGTGGTCACATACGCTAGATATTCATCGACATAATGGTGGTCACATACGCTAGATATTCATCGACATAATGGTGGTCACATACGCTAGATATTCATCGACATAATTTTGGTCACATACGCTAGATATTCATCGACATAATGGTGGTCACATACGATAGATATTTATCGACATAATGGTGGCCACATACGATAGATATTCATCGACATAATGGTAGTCACATACGCTAGATATTCATTGACATAATTGTGGCCACATACGCTAGATATTCATCGACAAAATGGTGGTCACATACGCTAGATATTCATCGACATATTGGTGGTCACATACGCTAGATATTCATCGACATAATGGTGGCCACATACGCTACATATTCATCGGTATAATGGTGGCCACATACGTTTGATATTCATCGACATGCTGGTGGTCAAATACGCTAGATATTCATCGACATAATGGTGGTCACATACGCTAGATATTCATCGACATAATGTTGGTCACATACGCTAGATATTCATCGACATAATGGTGGCCACATACGCTAGATATTCATCGACATAATGGTGGTCACATACGCTAGATATTCATCGACATAAAAGTGGCCACATACGCTAGACATTCATCAACAACATGGCTATAAAGGGTTGGTAATATCAAGACAATATCCTTATAACAGAGATTACAGAAAAAAAAGATAGTATTCAAATAATGTTTATTTAATACCAAGTCGGACTACGGTACACAAATTATCATGTGACTTTCAAAACAATCATCAACAAGGACATTGGATTAATATTTTCGATCAATAACTTTGTGCATAAACTCAACATTTAATAACGGTAGACATTGTTTATGTTGATTGGTTATGTCTTTGTGAATATTGCATTATTATGGGCTTTCATGGTTGTCAAAGTGTATTATATCACTGGATGTAAGCTCCTTTTGGAGGTTTCGGTACTTCTTCAGGGTCAAGGCCGTTTTGCTTCATCTCGATGGCAATTTCAAATAAATAATCATAACACTCGCACCTGAAATTAATAAAAGATATAAACATAAATTTATTAAAGAGAAACGAAAAAGGGCATGCTTGAATTGTTGTACATTTGTCATTTTGGGGCCTTTTATAGCTGACTATGCGGTATGGGCTGTGCTCATTGTTGAAGGCCGTACGGTAACCAATAGTTTTTTATTTCTGTGTCATTTTGGTCTCTTATGGATAGTTGTCTCATCGGCAATCATACCACATCTTCTTTTTATATGTATTATTTTCTGAAAGAAAAGAAAGGCAACTAAGACAAACATTTTTTATTTCAAAATGGCTGGATCTGCGCCTGAGATTAAGATTATATTATGGTAACCATTTTGTAACAAGTGTCTTGTTATTTTTGATATTATCATGATTATGCAACAAAAACAACCTTCATCTTTTAATGTATTGTTGTAATAAACTTATTCTGGAATAATCAGACGGAAAATTTCATACAGCAATACGTCTGGTCTAAAAGAATCGTATATAACAAAATATATACTAGTCAGAAAATGGCTACTAGTCCGAACTTTTCATTACAAAACTCGGAAACAAATTAGTTTTTATATTTTATATAAGTTTTTCTCAGGTTCCTGACGGTTGCATGTTTTGTCCATGATTATTATATATTGAGTAGTTTTTTCGATGCAAAAAAAAAATAAAATTGTAACAGTCCATGATACATATTATAACATCTGCATTAAAATATAGAATGGCACAGACTTATATTTGCATGTGTGTATGTATGTATCTGAGAAAGGTAAACAACAGGTTAGCCTCACAAGTTGCAGACAGGTATATAAAGTCTACATTACACAATTATTCAGGTATTACACAAGAAACGTATGCCAAACCAAATTATCAATACTTGTTATAATCATCCCGTGTACAAGGTTATTTCCAGAGTTTTAAAGTAATCTATTAATTAATATATTTTGATTGGCCCTAATTTGCTAAAATCAGCATGACTAATATGGAATTGAAAAGATCAAGTCATATTAACCATACGTTTAATACGGCTGTTTGGTCGGGTTAATAAGTGTTTCCATACGGACCAGCTGTATCTACTTCCTGTCATACGGACCAGCTGTATCTACTTCCTGTCATACGGACTGGCCATACGGACCAGCTGTATCTTCTTTCTGTCATACGGACTGGCCAAACGGACCAGCTGTATCTACTTCCTGTCATACGGACTGGCCATACGGATCAGCTGTGTCTACTTCTTGTCATACGGACTGGCCATACGGACTGGCCATACGGACCAGTCATATGGACTGTTTTGATTATTTGATACAAGTGTTACTAACTTGCTGATTCTTGTTTTTCCCTGTATTGATTCTCGGTCAGCTGTATTGACCCTTAGCCCTACGGCCCTCGGGACTAATATAGCAGACCCTGAATCAATACATGGGCAAATACAGATTCAGCAAGTTAGTAACACTATAAAACGACATATTTTGCCCCGGGAAATTCTACCGAATCACAATACTGGATAAATATTTATATTTTTCAGCTTCTTAATGTTTTAACATATATATCAATTGTAAAATACATCGATTTTTTAATTTTCTGTTTGTAAAATTTGTCTTTTGATAAAAAAAAAATTAAGCCTAAACTCAATGCAAATGATTTTGATTTTTCTTTTCTTTTCTTTTGGTAATTTTATTTGACAAAGTTTTTATCGAATTTTGACCTAGTGTAGAGAGATAAAGTGCACATAATTAAATGTAAGAACTTATCGATCCTTTACCAGCCGATCTGAACCGACAGAGTTATCGACCCTGATTGTGACTTGTATAGCTGCGTATAGTGAGTTTTACTGATCTGATATTCTATTTAATTTCATGGATTCGTACGGCGCCAAAATAGTATATGTTTTTTCTTTGCTTTTTGGTTGCTGTCTTTGTTTGTATGTATCAAAATTGATTACGAAGCCTGATCGAATTGATTACGAAGCCTGATCGAAGCCCTTTTCAAAACATACATAGTCTTGGCTTTCTCCCATGTTGGTCCCCAAACATAAACTCCATGACGACGAACAAGTACAGCACAGGATTCTGGATAATCTTCCATTGCCAAGGCCATTCTTTTCTGTAAAATATGAAAGGCTAAAAATGTGCAAATTAATTTTTTTAGGGAAATTACGTCAATCTATACGTGTCTACATGCACGATTCACGAGTTGATTTTTTTGTCAATCACGATTCACAGAAAATAAATTTCCATGATCACGGATCACGAAAATATAAAAAAAAAACAAATCTGTAGAAAAACGGATCACGATAGCGAAAATGCGCCGATCACGAAGAACGAAAATAACCCATCAGGCCCCTCATCTATCAGTTCAGGATTTAAAAAGAAAAACATTCGTCATGTTGTGTCACTTCACCCGGGTTAGCTTCGTTTCTGGTTTTATCGATTCCATGCCAATTTTTTTTACTTGGTTTGTTAATTATATGTTTGAATTGGACTTCAGAGGTTTGAAAATCGGTTTACAATTAATTTACCTTTAGATCTTTTTCTTCTGGTGTATTTTCAACAATAGGCACGATCAATTCATCATCATATTTGTAGTTACCGCCTGAAAACAAATCAAATTAAACGAAAATTAAAACACTATAACAACGTAACAACAACAAAATGAGAACAAGCTTGACTTTAGGATAAAGATTTATGTGAACTGTTTACTTATATGTTAGCAAAGCACAAGGTCGTGCGTTTCTCGGACTGTTTATGACGTGTTTAACTAAACCCGTTGGATGTGTAATGATTGATACTTTAGTCTGAGAGTACATGATTGATTTATTAGATGTAATAATTGGCTTTGAACTAGCGTTCTCTAACTGCGAGTACTCTAATTCCGGTGCTTTGTTTCTATTGTTTTTATGTTGTTTGTTTTGTGCCTCGTACCGATCTTTTGAGTTAAGCCAATTTCCACTGATTTTTATAGTTTGTTCTAATGTTTATCTGTTACACCACTGTCCCAGGTTAGGGGAGGGTTGAGCGCCCACAAACATTTTAACCCTGCCACTGACCTGTCCCGATTTCAGTGATTGTCGTTGGTTCATGTCTGTCATATTTGTTTTTCGTGAATTGTTTTGTTATAAGTTAGGCCGTTGGTTTTCTCGTTTGAATAGGTTAACACTTTTCGTGTCGGGCCCTTTTATAGTCGACTAACGGAATGGCTTTTTTCTCATTATTGAAGGCCGTACGGTTGACTATGATTGCTTATTACTCCTCATTTGACCTCTTTTGGATAGTTGTCTCATTGGAAACAATACCACATCTCCTTATCTTTATATTGACGCATTACAATGTAAAAATATTAATTAAGTCAGCTAAGGGAGCTACCATTTGATTGTTATGGGGCTAGGATGAAACATTTTGTCCTGCATTTTTTTTTTTTAGTTGTAATCTCTGTCCTGCCTTTCTATTTTTCACTCTATTCTGTCCTGCCTTTTTTATTAGTTTATCCTGACTTTTTTTACATAAATTGTTATCCTGCCTTTTTGTTTTGCCAAGTTGCTCATCCTTCAGTTTTTTTCACTCAAAACTCCTGTCCTGCCTTTTTTTTTAAATTTGATCCTAGCCCTTCCCCACCCCCAATAAAAATCAAATGGTAGCTCCCTAAATGTATAATTGACTTGCATTTATGATTGATTGACGTTTGTTTGTTCGTCATCATGCGACAAATTTTGATGATACTGAAGACGAAAACCAATTGTACAATTAAGGAACGTTGTAGCACGAGTCCGTAAGATAGATGATATCTAATTTAAGTGCGTACTTTCGGTTACAGACAATAACCTTGTTGTATTAATCACAAACCTGAGTTATGCTTCTGTATTCCTTTGATCATTTCTTGATGAGTTATTCTAAATTCTGTCCCAGGATACAAAAGTGTTGCCATGACAGCATGCTTTGAATGCGTATGTATTACAGCACAGGCCTCTTTAAAAAAAACATTATTCTGCCGTTAGAAAAATGTTCAACAGCAATCTATTATAGCTATTACATTTGCATGTAATAATTGTACCTTATAATTATGTTAAATTTTATGTATGTTCTCTTTAGCTATGTAAAAAAATGTAACTGTAGTTTTATGAGAACTAAACTCATTCCTTCGTAGCTGCTATAGTGGATGAAATTTCACTTAAATATTTCAACTTCAGGACACTGCTTACCTCTCATGGTAAAGGCATTCATGAACAATGGAGTACATTGACTTTTTCGTAATTTTTTGGACGGTGGCGGATGGCTGATATCTTCGCCATGTATTGTCTTAACAAATAAATCTTCCGGCTGAAAAGAAAATTAAGTGAACCAAATAAGACAATATTGCAATAACAGTACAATTGGATCAACAGCTCTGGAATAGGAATTTTATATTATCATCGGTATAAGGACATCATTCGTAAATATAGCTCAACATGCAGACTTCTTATACGTTCAGGTATTTCACATCCAATTTTTTATGGAAATATTCTTTATAAAGCACAAAAATGTCAGTATTCGCCTCTGAAGCTAACAAAACCTTTAAATAGACTTATTAAGAAGGGATATAGTTACGATACTGTTGTCAGGTCATTAAAGATTGCATATTTTGGCGTTAATATTGATTCACTTATAGGGTCTTTGCATCGGCACTAAACACATTTATTTAAAAACCAGTTGTTGGCATGACACGGGTTATGTTCTTCTCATATATGTTATGATGGTATGATACTAAACCCCTAACGGGAAGGATTGTGCCTGATATTCATATGATGAAGCCATAATCTTTCAATCAGTTTAATTGAAGTCTGGAGCTGGCATGTCAGTTAACTGCTAGTAGTCTGTTGTTATTTATGTATTATTGTCATTTTGTTTATTTTCTTTGGTTACATCTTCTGACATCTGACATCAGACTCGGACTTCTCTTGAACTGAATTTTAATGTGCGTATTGTTATGCGTTTACTTTTCTACATTGGCTAGAGGTATAGGGGGAGGGTTGAGATCTCATAAACATGTTTAACCCCGCCGCATTTTTGCGCCTGTCCCAAGTCAGGAGCCTCTAGCCTTTGTTAGTCTTGTATTATTTTTAATTTTAGTTTCTTGTGTACAATTTGGAGTTTAGTATGGCGTTCATTATCACTGAACTAGTATATATATTTGTTTAGGGGCCAGCTGAAGGACGCCTCCGGGTGCGGGAATTTCTCGCTGCATTGAAGACCTGTTGGTGACCTTCTGCTGTTGTCTGTTCTATGGTCGGGTTAATTGTTGTCTCTTTGACACATTCCCCATTTCCATTCTCAATTTTAGTATTTACATCAACGCAAGTTAAAACAACCATGACAACAATCATGATTTTCAAACACTCAAAAATAACACCAAATTAGGCTGTGAATAAATACCAATTAGCAGTAATCATACATAATTAACATTTAATAATTAATCATCAAATCAATTTAAAACTATATTTCATTTAAAAATTCCCGAATTTTTATTTATGAAAATAAAAATATTTTGATATAAACATCTACAAAACATCTAAAAATTTATCAGGTTTTTGAATAAAAAAAAGGGTGCGAACGTGTAGGGTGCGAACGGACCTAGGGGTCGAACGTGTAGGGTGCGAACGGACCTAGGGGGCGAACGTGTGGGATGCGAACGTGTAGGGTGCGAACGTGTATTGGGCGCGAACGGACCCGATACCGTTGACAGCGGAGGTCGACTTGTGAAAATATATATTGTAATATTTTACGATGAAAATCAAAAAACTGTAGGATGCATGCGTTTTCAGTTTTTGTCTTACCTTAAAGCAGCATAGAATCAAATATTTTGTCTTTTTGATAAAGTGGATATATGCTTTTTGTTTTGATAAAATTTCGAAGTTACGTAAAAAAATGGCGACCAAACAATTTTCAAACGTAGACGATGTTCGACACTAATTTTGCCTATGCAAATAACACAATTTTATTTCACTGTTTATATTGCAATTAAATATGACACGTTATTGTCACTCTAATTATAATACCCAAGGACATAGCCTGATTAAGGAGATATTAAGTCATCAACGTGATCAAAGAAAACAAACACGGCACCTAATCACGATGTAATATCATGTAAGTTTCGACAAGACTTATGTAGATTAGTATGGTCAGATTCTTATAGAAATTATTTTATGGTATTATTTTATATTAATAAAAAAAAAAACCTCGAAACCCCGACCGGAGGTGAAATATTTATTTTTTTCAATTTTCTAAATCATTCATCACACGGGTTACCAGTAAATTTGTCATAATCCTAATTAAACCAGTAACATGCAGAGTTATCGAACGTAATTATGACTGGTATAGTTGCATATGCGATATTATTTTGCTAGACCGAATGCCAGTAAAGAGATCTGCAAGGACTTCTACTTTTAAACTCACATAGAGTTATGAATACTTCAATCCATAAATAAACTCGGACTTTTTACTTATATTTATCTTCTTTTGATGACTAATGGTTTTTGTAAACAATAAAAAAATATTTCACAACAACCCTACAAAAATACAGATGTAAAAAAAACATGGAATTCATACATAATTGATACATCTTGAAGTATACTGCCATTGAATATATTATTCTTCATGTTTGTCACTACATTATGATTGTAACACGAGCAACACAACGTGTGCCATATATGGAGCAGGATCTGCTTAAATATTCAGGAGCGCCTAAGATAACCCCCGTTTTTTGTGGGGTTCGTGTTGCTCAGGCTGTAGTTTTCTATGTTGTGTTTTGTGTACTGTTGTTTTTCTGTATATTTTTTTTCTTTTTTAACCATGGCGTTGTCAGTTTATTTTCGACTTACGAGTTGGAATGTCCCTTCTGTATCGTTCGCCTGTATTTGATCCCCTAAAGTCTGTCCGTCCAATCTTATTATCGCACCGCCGGTAAATTATCACGTTGTGATTGGTTTAACGCCATCACGTGGTGACCCCCTATGGATCCGTAGGGGGTTAGTAAATTTCATAGGGGGTTCATGACGTCACGTCTACTGTTAATAGTGACGTCATCTATTAATGTTGTTGTGTTTTATTGTTTTTTTATATTCAAAACACAGCGGAAAAAAGTCTCGCGGGCGATAAATTCATTATACGGTTAACTACTGACCCCCTACGGACCATAGAGGGTGAATAAAATCCATAGGAGATTCGGCCTTCGGCCTCACCCCCTATGAATTTTACTCACCCTCTATGGATCCGTAGGGGGTCAGTAGCGAACCATATAACTTATATTAGCGCTCTTACATATACAATTATTTCCAAATATATATAACGTATAGCATAGGTTAATATCAGTTATGTCTTAGACAAGTTCGAAAATCAGTTCCGATTATATTTTTTCAAAAGAGTTATGCCCCTTGGAAATATTAATGATATGCACAATTGTGTTGTATGCATGTTCAACTCTGGCCAATTTTTTATTAACTTTTTTATAGGTTTATATCAGCCATGTCTTGGATAAGTTCGAAAATCAATGCCGAACAATTATTACTAAAAGAGTTATGCCCTTGGTAATATTGATTATAATTATATGGAAAATTGGACTGTAAAAGCTTTCACGTGTACAATTATTTCCAGAATTCTATGAAGCTTATATCATAGGTTTTGATTAGTAATGTCTCGGACAAGTTAGAAAAATCAGTATTGATCAATTATTTTTAAAAGAGCTATATGCGCCTTGGGAATATTATTAATATCATAATGGAAACTGCATCGCAAATGCTCTCATGTGTACAATTCTTGCCAGAATGCAATGAAATTAATATCAAAGGTTTACATCAGCAATGTCTCGAATAAGTTGTGAAATTTTTAAAAAGAATTATTATCGGTGCCATATAGTTTTACCCTTGTCCGTCATTCCGTAATTCCATAATTCCGTCATTCCGTAATTCCGTAATTCCGCAACAAACCATTATACGGAGTTTTTTCTAAACAACTTCAGATATTCGGCTGATTTTTGGTATGTGAGTTAACCATGATGAGTTGCAGATCAAGTTTAAGTTTTGTTCTGCTCGGCTAATTTTTGCCTTAATTTCGGTTTTTGGGACTTTGATACATTTTTGAAATCACAGTTATACGGACCTTTTTTCTAAATGCTTTCAGATATTAGGCTGATTTTTGGTATGTGAGCTAACCATGATGAGTTACAGATCAAGTTTAAGTTTCGTTCCACTCTGCTAATTTTTGCCAAAATTAAGGGTTTACAATTATTAAATTGTTGAAAATCACAGTTATATGGAAATTTTTCTATATGCCATCAGATTTTGAGCTGATTTTGATATGTGAGACTACCATCATGTTTGTGTCCACATGTGTTATTGAAATTCAAATTGCAGATTTTTCAATTTTTTGGGACGGGGCCATTCGTGTCGCTTTGACACATCTAGTTTTATATAGATTAGACAGTTGGTTTTCCCGTTTGAATGGTTTTACACTAGTAATTTCGTGGCCCTTTATAGCTTGTTGTTCGGTGTCAGCCAAGGCTCCGTGTTGAAGGCCGTACCTTGACCTTTAATGGTTTACGTTTATAAATTGTTATTTGGATGGAGAGTTGTCTCATTGGCACTCATACCACATCTTCCTATATCTATATATATGTAAGGTTTATATCAGCAATGACAACTTCGGAAATCAGTGCCCATGAACAATTTTGAAAAGAATTATGTGCCATCGAAATATCATTGTTGTTTATTTTTTCTGTCTCCTGTTCTAACATCGGACTCCGATTACTTTTTATTTATTTTTTCTGTGCGTTTTGCTGTATGGGTTTGTTTATTTCACATTGGCTAGAGGTATAGGGGCTGGTTGAGATCTCACAATACTTGTTTATCTCATCCGCATTTCTGCGCATGTCCCAAGTTAGGAACCTCTAGCCTTTTCAAGTGTTATGTGTTGTTTTTTTTTTT